AGGGGCGGGGGGGGCGGGCATACGGACAAGAAGGCTCGGCGCATGCGTGGCTCGAGCCAACGAGTCGTGCCGCCACGGATAGAGTGAATGCAACGTTGAAGGTCGGCCCAAGCGCCACAGCGCCGCCTGCCAGCTCTGTGGTGGCACCCGGCCAGACGCTCCACCTGGTGTTTGAGTGGAGGAACTACAGCGGGGGCCGGTCGTTTCCTGAAACAAGGCCATCTCTGCAGTAAACCTATCCGTAAAGTGGCCTACGGTTTTGTCTGTGCCGCGTTTGGCCTCTTGGACTCGCGTCCCCTTTCTGAGCATGCGCAGTTACATGGGGTAGAGACGCCTACTCAAAAATCCAGTGTTAAATAGTCTACAATAGGGGTTTGGGGCTCAGTGCCTAAAATGTAGCAGGAAGAAAATGAAGTCATCTTTGCCTGGCATCTTTACAAGGAAAATTGGCTCATTGGGCGAATAGTCAGCAAAATGCCATAGCTGCTTCTGCAGGCTACACCTTTCACTTCTCGTTTCCATCTTTCTGCTCTTGATCAACCATGAGAAAACCAGCACCAGCAAGCCAGAAGACAGAGGCTAAATACAGTTCAAAGCTCTCTTTCCTGAGGCAGAGTAGGACAAACCGTCACCTGCGATCTGCAGGAAGGGTGCGCCGTCAGGCCTGAGCCTCTGCTCAAGTCACTCGGGGACGGAAGGGATAAGCGGCGAGCTCTCTCCCCTCTTCTCTCTTGTCCTTTGGCTCGTCCTTCCCGCGGGGCAAGGAGGTGGGGGCTCCTCGACCTTGTCCCTTCAAGGCCTCTTTGTCGCCCAGCCAGGTGACCCGACCAACCTTTTGGAAGTGGGTGGCAAAAGGCCTCCCCTGTTCCAAACCCCAGTCAGTCATCAGCCGTCGGGGTATCGTGCATGAATGCAGCATGAGAAGGCCGGGAAAAGCTCACCAAACCCCCATAAAAAATAAAAAATAAAAAGAAACCCGCGGCTGTAAATAAAGCCAAATCCGCCACCCTCTGAGGGGCCGTTTGTCCTCCCCTCCTTGGCCCCGTCCTTCCCGCCGCCCCCTCCTGGCTGCCGGGCCCCGCGGCGCCCGGGCCCCGAGCTCCTCCATTTAATCGGATTTGGGAGAAGGGGAGGATAAATCACGGCAGCAGCTTTACGGTCCCCGAGGAGAGGCGAGCCGCAGCCAGGCACACCCCGGCCGGCGATAAAAACCGCCGCTGAAAGCCCACGGAGCAATTTCCCGGGACCCCGAGCGACGCCATTACAGGAATGTAATTTTGCCCGGATGAGGCCCCGAGTTTAATTATCCTCGCGGAGGAATTTCAATGCGGCCAATCCATCTTGCAGGCGGGCGGCAGAGGGATTTATATGGGCCCGTTATTTCACACCGATCCTCCATCTGCATTTTTATGGCTTGTGCTCCTGTAAGGGAGGGGAAGTAGTGGGGAGAAATAGGAGAAGCAGAGAGAAGAGGAGGGTGGGAGACTTGTCCGCCTTTCCTAAATCCGTGATTTCAGCTCGTTTAGGATTCTCATAGGTTCCCTGAATTCCCAAATCTCTCTCGAGTTCTGCCTGTTGACTGGAGCAGGGGCAGAATTTGGGAATCAATCAACAGGTATTTATAAAATACTAAGCGATGGCAGGCACCGTGTCGGGTGCTGTAGAAGGAAGACAGGCTAGCAAGGACTTAGGAGTTTATCCTAGAGGTCCCTAGACATCCTCACCCCCTCCAAAGCGAAATTCTTTTTAGCTCTCAGCTTCACATCCTATGAGGCAGAAAGCCGCAAGTTCGGAGGAGCCGCCACCACCAAATGATTGTTGCAGCTGTTGATTTCCACAATTTAGACAATCTCAGATTCCGCTAACAATCCCAGAGGAGGCTCAGAAAAGGGGCCTGTGAGGAAGCTAAAGCTGGCTCCTTCCAAAGTTGTTATAGCCTGCAATGTTTGATACTCTCTGGCCTCATTCACCCATGGGCTCTGGATGCAAACAAACTTGGGTTCCAAAATCTATGACCTTGAGCAGGTTATTTAACCCTTCTAGATAAATTTCCTCCTTTGTAAATTGGGGATAACAGTTTTACCCTACAGCCAATATTGGGATGATAATATAATGAAGCTTTTAGCAAAGTACTTGTCATCCAGGAAATTCCAGTAATTGCTATCATCATCATGTCGTTGTCACCACCACCACCACCACCACCATCATCATCATTATCATCATCATCACTGTTGTTATAGTTAAGAGCATCGCAATTCAGTTCTGTATTGCTCCCTAGAGACTGTTTCTTGCATGGTCCCTGCTTAGTAACCCCCGAGACTCAACTATAACTTAGAATTTTTGACTCACATAAATCATGCAAAACAAGTTATTTGGCATATTGGTAGGCGGAGATTTGTGGGGAGGGTGAAACCCTGGAGGGTATTATAACAAGGTTTGAAGCATGAAATTACACTGGTAGCACAGCAGTGAGATTACATGAAATAGATAGAGGTTTGAGAGGGAGGGGAAAGTTTGAGGGCAGAAAGATGATTAGCTGAGGGTCTAGGGATCTTTTTAACCATGGACCTGGGGAAGGGTCCTTGCTGCACTTCACTAGAGGAAACTGGGTCCAGGAAGGACAGGGTGTGGAGTCAGAACTAGCCTCACCAATCAATCCCTTTCTTTTGCTACCAGGCCATGTAAGAAGGCTGGCCCGATTGGCCAGTTTTTCTAATGACTGCCAGTGGCAGATTCTGACTGGTTAGCAGCTTCCCTGCATAGTAGTGACGAAGAAATGAGATTGATCTTTTATTTCTTTGGATTGGTTAACAACCCTCAGTGGGGTCAGAGACTCATTTTAATTCAGCATCTCTCATAGCGAAGTTTCGAGTGTTCTTTACCTCAAAGATCACCACGAAAGAGTCTTGATTGTTTGTGTTTGCCTTTGGACAGGAAACAGTTTTGAAAAGAAAAAAAAATAATTATGCAAGTGCACTACAGTTCATTTTGAAACACCAGAGAGAGGTGTTCACAGGGAGAGACCTAAAAGGGATTTGAAAGAGATAATGACTAGGACACAGAGAAACACAAAGAAAAAGAAAAAAATATATTGTGGGGTGGAAGTAGGGGCAGGGGAGGGATGGGGAAAGAGAAGATATTGACAAAAGGGTTACAAAGTTAGACTGGAGAATAAGTGTTAGTGATCTATTACACTGCATGTTGATCACAGTTAATGTATTGGATATTTCAAGATTGCCAAAATAGATTTTTAATGTTCTTATCACACTCAACAAAATAAACGAGTGAGATGAGGGCTATACTAATTAGCTGCACTGAATCTTTCTATAATGTATATGAAGATCAAAACACCGTGTTGTACCCCATACATGCACACAATTATTTGTCAATTTAAAAAAATATTGTCAGAGAAGAGGAAGGGTTCGAGTAATTTGTTTTTAATTCCTGATGGCTTAGGATAAGGCTACTTTATACTATAATGTGTTTTGCTAGATGTACATGTAGCCAGCATGTGGTGTGGAAAAAATAGCTGTCTTGGATGTGGAGATTCCAAGTCTGCTCCCATCTCTACTACTAACTAGTTACAAGTTACTTTGTCTTTTTGTTTGTTTGTTTGTTTGTTTTTTTGAGACAGGGTCTCACTATGTAGTTGAGAATGACCTGGAACTTATTATGTAGCCCAGGGTGGTCTTGAACTCACAGCAATCCTCCTGCCTCAGCCTCCTGAGTGCTGGGATTACAGGTGTGCACCACCATGCCTGGCTAAGTTACTTCATCTCTTAATGCCCCAACTTTCTCATTTAGAAAAATCAGTGAGAAGTAGGTGATCTTTGAGGTTCTTCCTAGTGTTACCTTTCCAGGATTCTCTTTCTCCTACAAGTTGAAGTGGTTCCTTTACATCCAATAAGGACAGGTTTTTCCTCTATTTGTGATTGTGTGTGTGTGTGTGTGTGTGTGTGTGTGTGTGTGCGCGCGTGCTGGGTATGGAACCCAGGACCTGTGGCTAAACAAGGTGAGCTATCACTGAGCTATACTCCCAATCCCTATTTGTGATTGTCAGTTTCTTTGTATTTTTTTCTTTTTGAGAAGATCTCACTATGTAACTCAGGCTGGACTCAAACTCACAATCCTCCTACCTTGGTCTCTCAGAGTGTTGAGATTACAGGTGAAATCAATACTGAACCTGCTTTCATTAATTTCAAATTTCTAGGTTGATGAGCATTGACTCATGGCTTTTCTACTGTCCCTTGCTGTCTTGGTTTCTTTTCTCGTTGCTGAGACAAAACATTTGCCACCCAAAGTCAGAGGAGGAAAGGTTTATTTTGATTCTGAGTTTGTAGAGGTCTCGTTGGCTGGCTCCAAGGCAGGGTGGCCTGGCAGAGGGGCATCAAAGTGGAGAAACTGTTCATCGGAGGCAGAGGCAGCAAAGCAGCAAGTGACAAGCAATGATGATAGCAGCCCTCTTTCTGTCTCATATTTTATCCAGGCTACCCGTTCTAGCACTCATACCCTTAATCTTAGCATAGTGAATCAATCCCAGTATCACCTCCTTCATCCCAAAGTCACACCCCTAGATCCAGCCACCTCTGAAAAGCCCCACCAATGACCTCATGTGGCTTTAGGGGGAACATCTAGACACAAGCCATAACACTTGCTAAATCAGTTCCCCAGCTAGTAGGATTATAAGCCATTAATAAACCTCTATTCCTGCAGAAAGAGAACAGTAGGTGGAAAAAGGGAAAGGATCTCTGGTATCCAGGCTTTTTTTGTGGGGGATTAAATGACAGTGTGGGTGACAAAAGGATGATCAAAAAGTTTTTTTATTTTTTGAGATAGGGTCTCATTATGTAGTCCAGAACAGTCTTGAACTTTCTATGTAGACTAGGCTGGCCTCAAGCTGAAGATCACCCTGTTTCAGCCTCCCAAGAGTTGGAATTATGGGTGTGAACCAAAACTTTTTGCTAGGGAAAAATTTAAACCTTTTTGATTTTTGGTTACTGTATCTGTGCTTGCACTTTTGCTCCTCCTGCCTTAGTTTCCCATACTGCTGGGATTACAAGTGAGTGCCACCACACCTGGTTATTAATTCTTTTTAGTCTTTAAATATATGTTAAAGAAGGCAGGATGGTAGTATACACCTGTAATCTCAGAACTCAGGAGGCTGAGGCAGGAGGATCATTGTGAATTTGAGGCCAGTCTGGGTTATGTAGTGAGTTCAAGGCCAGTCTGATATACGGAGACCCTGTCACAAAACAAACAATCAAATAATGTGTGTGTGTGTGTGTGTGTGTGTGAAATAGCATAGATCTGGCTTATCAGACCTT